CAGTGTTTATCCATGCTGAAACTAACTGTCATTTGCACCCTGAATTATGTATTCTCTTAGATACAGCCTAACTGGAAACAGGTGTCATTAAAAACAATATAAAAATGAATACAAAAATATTTATATAGAAAAATAGCATGGTCAGTGTTTTTTTCCCATTAAAAAGCAGTAACCACTGCTTTAAAAGCATTACTTTAGATGTGGAGGTGGTTATATGACAAAGTGTGAGTAAAGTTCAGAGAAATTCACTCCCTCAAAGGCTGACAGGACCTTGACCACAGGACCCTGAAGATGAGCGATGACCTATCGTGCAACAGATGTATTGTACTCCTTACAAAGAGCATGTTGGGAGGTTTGCACATCCTCTTTGGTGTATTGTTTTGTACGGTTGCTCAACATCCTAAAGGCTGTAAAACATTGTTAAAATTGGCAGCAAAGACTTTATAACTGGAAAGCCAGCATGCTGGCAACCCCTCTGATTTCACTGTAAACAACAACATTTCCTATTTATTGTAATAGTTTCCCTCAATTGTACTTTTCCGATTCCCGTTGATGAAAGATAGAAACTCTCTGGAGGAAAGTTAATGTTGACCTGTTGTTTTTTAAATTTTATTTTATTGTGTATTTGTGCAATAAACAAAATAAATATAAATGCATGCAATCGAACAAATAATAAAATCAGTTCTTTTTACTTTTGACATATCTGGCCAAGATAACCCCCCTCCTCCCAAAAAATAAAGAAAATTAAGCAATTCATCTGAATTATTACTTCACCATTGTATTGGATTTGTTTATAGATAAATTTATGAAAGTAGGATTTGTTTCAGTAATGTAATAACAAATGACTCTTTCACAGATCACAGCACACACAGTATCTTAAAGATTGAATGTGTAAATACTGTAGACACACTGGTCCACATCCCAGTGTTTGCTCCAAGACGTTTTTTTTTTTTCCAAATGGGGCTGAACTTTCTAAAGTCAGGCCATCTCCGTCCAACCATTTAGAGAGCTCTTTGCAGACAATGTCCACTCACGCCAGTGCAATTGGTCATTGTCAAACAACTTGATAAGTTCGAGTGCATGGGAAGGAAATTCTTCTGGAGAATAAAGGTGCAGCATGTAAAACTTAGAGTGCATATGGTTTCAAGAATTTCCTCACTGCCGGCAAAAGATTAAACAAGAAAATATGTTCCCAGTTAAGAAAGAAAGAAAGAAAGAAAGAAAGAAAGAAAGAAAGAAAGAAAGAAATCAGTATTCAGTGACTTTGCAGCCCCTAAAAGCAGCACTAGAAACTAAATAAGACATACAACTTTCAAAGAAGTAAAAGGCAGCCTAAAAAGGCAGAGATGACTGAATTTTCCTGCCCTTGAGACAGACAGGTAGTGCTTCAAGTCTGAGATAGGAACATGGAAAATATTCTGATGCCAACTACAGTTAGCTTGGTTGCACTTACAGAGAAAAGTAAAAAACACATTTTAGGTAAATGCCAACAGCAGGTCAAAGCTGTCAGTGTCACAGTGATGCCACACACAAACTGGAAAGTTCAAAAGTCAACAACTATGCTAAAAATTAGTAAGGGTGACAATTTTGTTGTATGCAACACAAGGGCGTAGATTTGGCATGGACGGAAGGGACATGTCCCCACCAATAATTTAATCTCTTCGAGTAAAGAAAAAGAAAACAGATAGAAATTAAAAAAAAAAAAAAAGGCGATCTGTCAACGTCTCATTCACCCAGCGGTGCAGAAAGAGTTAAATTACGTTCTCTACTGGAGTCCTATATCATGTGACAAATATGGCCAATGTGATTGGCTGTGCCTTTCAGGGAGCTCTGTTTAGTTTTAGCAGCGGCAATCCTGCGCTGCGAGCAGGGGAGGAGGATGGCAGCAAAAAGAACCTGGATATAAGAAAGTATTTTTCAAAGAAACCTGTAAGTCACTTAAAGTCAAGTTCACTCATAAAACCTGTCCATCATAATAACGTTACAGGCAATGCAAGGCAATACATGCCAACCCTCCCGTTTTTCAGTGCCCCTCTTATTACTCTTTCTGGGTTGCAAAATAAACTTTAAAAAATTTTCAGGCGAGAATGTAGCTGTGCAAACTTCAAATATCTGAACCGGGGAGAACAGCAAACTTCCGGCACATCGTTTTAGGCTTTGGCCCACATCAGTCTAAAATTGTATGTAACCATGAATAACGTGTTACCATGTGCACCAGGAGAGACTGGACAGTATAGATGTAAAACAAATATGCCAGCAGTTTATCTCAGTTAATGAGAGGAGAAGGCATGTGTTTGGCTCCTTCACATAGTGGACATTGAGTTGTTGTATGGGACACCAGTAGTCCATGTCTGTTGCTGTAACAGTAGTTCATGTTTAGAGTAAAACACCCCAGCTCACTGACTTGATAGGGGCAATAGTGTGCCTAAAATGTTGCATAATTTTGCTAAGAGATCTTTTACTTTGTGGTAATCTTAGATGAGTAGTTTTATGGACAAAAACCACCAGGTCATTCAGTGTTCCCTTAGTGCTAATGTATCAGAGATGTTGGTGTAATATAACTGAAGTAATGTTGTTAAGTCCTTAAAGTCATATTCTTTTATTGTCATGACTGTATTTGAAGCTATTTTTATTTTTGTATGATATCTGATTTATATGGAATATGGTTGAAGTAAACTAAAGTATAAAATACTTAGTCATTTGTTTAATAGTAACTTAACATTATATAATCCACATATAAAACTATGAATTGTAATTTTAAATGGTTTAAAAGCACGTAGAATAGCATATGTAGGCAAGTATATTTCTCCTTTTTTTTTATTATCAAAAAGCAAAGACGAAAAGGAAAAAAAAAAGAAACAGGGCAGGGTTCAGTGGTTGAATCGTCCGTCCCCACCAATGCCAAAACCAAATCTACGCCCTTGATGCAACAGAAAACTCAGGTCATAAGCACGAAGGAAGAGGACACTCTGACCTGACACTTGACCTTTGCAGTCCACTGAATGCCACTCAATCTGACTGATGTATGCAGAAAAAGCTTTTAGGACACCTTCTGGGTGGAGCAGAGTTGCAAAAGTGAAACTTTACCTACGGCTATAACTCTAGGCATAAGATGTTTATGACCAACCACTTACTGATCAGTGTTGCTGCTGATGCATCGTGTCTAAAGTGACAAACAACCCATTCACAGTCTGTATCAGCTCCAACACTGGTCTTACTGAACGCTATACTTGCTGACATTTAAATTCCAGCACAGTTTTTAAATGCTAAGAATTTGTTCCAGTCTAGTGGTTGCCTTTTCCATCAGCTGATGGCTCCAGCCAAAAGGTCTATGGAGAAGTACTTGCTTTCAGCACCAAATTTAATTTAGTATGAGCACACCAGGTGCTGCTCCATCAGCAAAGGGGCCATGTACTGTATGCACCTGTGTACATTTTAACATAGGCAGGTTTCTGGTGTCACTGTCACATGGCTGCATTCAAGCGGACTGTGTTGCTGGCAAAGAAAACTGAAACTGCGCATTAGACAGTTCACTGACTGCATTTGAACAGCTTACTAACTCAGTTTGTTTCTATAAATAGGGATCATCAGAGCTCAAAGAGGGGAAACAGAAGTCTCTCTGTCCCAGCAGTCTTTTCCCTGATGTTTAAACAGCAGGAGAGTCCGGGGACCTAAACTGGAGCTAATTAGCTAATTCATGAGGCCTGAAGGGAGCAACATGTGATTTAATGCAGTCGGCAGCAACAGCCATGTTTCTAAACAACAGGTTTTGTCATTAATTTCTATACAATCTGAACAATTTCTCACATTAGCAGAAAAATATGGAAAGTATGCTTTAAGAGTCAAGTACAAATGTATCCTGGGAAACACAGAAGGATTTTAGGCAACTTATCTCTACTGGAGATGTGTGTTGTATCTAAAGATATGTTTGACTTTGTAGTTGCAGTAGCACATATGAAAACAACATCTACTGATCCACACTGAGGGGACATAGGTTTGTTTTAAATCAACACCTTTGATTAGGCATGGCTTGTTACACACCCACATTATGTTGATATGTAGATTAGTTACACTGGCATTCTTACTGGGACAAGTGACATTTCTTTTTCTGAATAAGGCAGCGACTTGGCTTATAAGATGTCAGTGCAAACTGAAGACAATGGTGAAGAGGACTGTCAATCAGTGAACAATGACAGCTGCTTTTTTTTTATCGAGTTTGTACGTGAAAAGCTTGATTCACATGTGTATGTCGACCCAAACATAACGAGCATGACGACTACTACTTTCTTAATGTTAGGAAACTGGTGGGTGTTGACATCAGTCCAAAACTCGTCAGTGGAAGGGCTCACCGCAAAGCCCCCCACTGTTACAACACCACGAGTCCATGTAACCGACCAGAAAGCTTCTCTTTCAACTTCGCTATGAAATCAGTCATCACATCCACGACTTGGGCCGGTGATGAGATGCATTTGCGGAGTGTCGGAAAATGCACCCTCTGCTCAACTCAGTCGAAAAGAAGGTTAAGCTTGACTTTAGATGTACACAGTGTTAATGACAGTTTTGGCTCTGTAGTAAAACATTTAGGTTATTCAGTTATTATTTCTGTCGTACAGAAAGCAGACATTGGCCATAAAGCTGTTGTCCAGAATGTGATTCAAGTGTTTCTGATTTTTATCTTTTTTTTGCCTGCTACTGGGGAACAAAGTTGTGATCTCCTCCCTTTGAACACCGCAACACGCTCACTGCAAATTAAACACATAGGTTGGGTATTTGGATTTGGCGGTAAAATAAACAAATACTCGTCGGTACTTGTTTGCTGTACACCTTAAATGTGACACAGCGGAGACATAATGAAAGCAAAAGTTATTTTAACCTGGGTTCCTTTCATATGAAAATTAGCAGTTTTAGCAAATTAACTAGAGTTTTTGCGGCTTCCGCTGTTACCATAGTTACTGAGTAACAAACCGCCGTCGAACGTCACGAGTCAGCAAACGTAACGCTTGTTTTTCGTGGGGTTTTCCAAAACTCATTAACAGATAATATTTACGAAGATGGAGTCTAAAACCAAACAACCAGTTTTTCCTTGGTAAGTCACTTAATTTTTTTTTTACTGTACTTTTTCTTTTATTTACAAGAAAATATTTGCATTCGCCCTTTTTAACCACTGCTAAGAGAAGTGTCATTGCACTGTCTAAAAAGATGTACTTGTAATGTAATAGTGTTAACTAATGTTACTTGTAAATAGAAATCGAACTAATACATAACATCCCCTTTCAGACTGCTTTATTTCTGGCAAACAGCAATAAATGCATTTACTCATCTACAAGTAAAATTATTTCAGCTTTATGCTAATGTTGTATTGCAGTGCAGCAGGCCTGCATGCTCCAGTTAATTTATATGCTGAGTAACCTTATGCGTATAAAACACCGTATAAGTAACATAAGGGCTTATCTAATGAATTTAACTCCATCTCACATAGGTTCAACAATAAAATATAATATTATAAAATGGCTACAATAGGACAGTTACATAAAATACTAATTTCCTACTCATATTTTGCTTCTACGCTTGAGGGACAATTTGCTTCAAAGAGCATTTTTCCTAGTTGTATTATTGGCAGTATTTTATGTGTGCATTTCTAATACCTATTTCATTTTTACTTTTCAGACCATTGCACTGGTTTAACCTCCTAATTTCTCTTTGCTATTTGGGTTGATTGGGACCTGATGAATGTAAAAACAAAGAATTACCAGATTCTTTTTTAACCTGATTTTTGTATCTGAGAAAAATTTGATCCACATATGAGGACATTCGTTTTAAATTTTGATAGAACAGTAGCAGTATACGGTCCTTGTAAGTGGATATCAGGTCCTTGTAGAGCAAAATTTAGTATTTTGGTCTAGACAACCCAAAATATGATGTCCACATATTGTTCACCATCACTGATGCTGCCTCTTAGACCTACTTCCTGTGTTTGCCCACCTAACCTGAACAAGCATGAGGGCAGGGATGAGGAGACTTGAGAAATACATAGAATTCAGATGAGGAAGAGGAAAAGGGAGAGGCAGGACTAGAGAAGACAAACATGGTACTCTACATCACCGCACACATGGAAAGAGTGCTATTTAAAATTGTCACTGAGCTGCTTTATTTATATCTTTATTTATATTCTAAAGGATGAGAGATGTGCATGTAAGTGGGGGGGGGGGGGGGGGGGGGGGTTGATGTATGCCATTATGCTGCTGAGAGAGAGGCGACACAGCTGGACGCTTTACCCTGGTTAAGAATTTCAATATCTCTGAGATTGAGAACACAGTACAGAATAAATAATAAGACAACACCAGTCTGCAGGTAATCTAAGGGAACTAGAGAAACACAAATAACAAAATATAATGCCACTGTTCTTAAGCGGGTAAAAGGATTAAATGCTGGCATGCCACAAGAATTAATAAATAAACAATAACATTTTTTCAAGTTAGATAGAGAGTGCTTGAAAAGTTTGCTGGCTATGTCCCAAAATAAGATTTTTAATCCCCAACAAGATATACTAACACCGTCTTTGTTGATAGATTTTCGCATATATTGTCTCTGTAGACATCATGCAAATGTTATGGCACATTAACTCGGACACTCCTCACCTGAATTTTTCATAAAGATCTGAACAACCAAGGAGACTCTTAGTTAACAAAGGTGATGAATACAGTTGTCATACAACTAATAATACCCTTGGAAAGCTTATAAAGGTCACACTACCAGAAGTAAACATTGCTTTCTTTGCAGACTGTAGCATAATATATCTGAAACTGGTAAAAGTCATACACCAGACTACTCCAATTTCCCTCAGTAAGAATCTGAAACTTGAACTTGCTTTAAACTGCGCTATGCTACAAAATATGATATTGCTACTGCCAAAAGTTTGGAAAGACAGATAAGGGTGTTCATGTAGGAGAATGTTTTTGCAGTATCAAAAAGTCTAAACACAAGAACATTTTGTTGAATTCCATTCCAGCAAATAATAATAATAATTAAATAAATAAATAAACTATCAAGCCTTTTTAAAAAATAAACCATTTTATCATTTGAGCGGATAAAGAAGGACATGGGAGTTAGTACAGACTACATAAGTGTCTAGCTGGCAGAGGTAAATATAAAGACAACTCAGAGAACAGAGTGCAAGTATGTGAAGCAGAAGCATGTTACCTTTTCAAATACACAAAAAGTGTCTGCTTACATGATGAGACACTTTAATTAAAAAAAAAAAAGTTTCATTCCTGAAGGACCAGGCTCCATGACATATTAAAGACTTCACATTACCAAACTTTAGAAAAGCTCCTAAAAGTAGAATGGGAGGCAGAGCCTTCACTTGCCACGCTCCTTTCCTGTGGAACGAGCTATCTGTCTATGATCAGGAGACAGACGTTACCTACTTTTAGTTTTTGTTTTAAAGCTTATAGGTAGGGCTAGATTAAGTGAGTCTGAACCATGCCTTAGTTAGGCTTCTATACAGTCAGGCTGCTGGGAGATTTCCCACGATGCACTGCATGTCTTTTATTCTCCACTCCCACTACAGCATTCTCTCATAAACTATGAGAGTGTTTTATACATTGTGTCTTTCCATTCACTTCCTCCTTCTGCTTGATGTTTCTTCCTGTTAAAAAGAGCATCTTCCTCTCCACCATCACTTCCTGATTTCCTATTTTTTGTATGTTTGTCACACAAAAATGTTTCAAATTATCCAAAATATTTAAATATTAGACAAAGACAACACAAGTACCGTAATTAAAATATTCAATTTCTGAATGACAGTATTAAGGGAGAAAACAATATCTAAACCTACATGCCCCCCAAATCTAGTAACTGGTTGGGCCAACTTAGCAGCAACAACTGTGAAAGAGTCTTTTTCAGCACTGAGAAGGAATTTTGGCCCACTTATCTCTGCAGAATTGTTGTAATTCAGCCATGATGGAGGGTTTTCAAGCATGAACCGCCTTTTTAAGGTCATGCCACAGTATCTCAGTTGCATTCAGGTCAGGACTTTGACTTTAATTTCTCTTTGCTATTTGGGCTGACTGGGACCTGATGAATATAAAAACAAAGAGTTACGCGATTTTTTTTTTTTTTTTACCTGATTTTTGTTTCTGAGAAAAATAAGATCCACATATGAGGACATTCGCTTTAAATTTCGATAGGACATTGGCAGTATAATGTCCTTGTAAGTGGATATCAGGCCCTTGTAGAGCAAAATTTAGTATTTTGTTCTAGACAACCCAAAATGTGATGTCCACCTATGTGGACACCAGGTCACAGGAGGTTAATGATAAACACCGCGATTTAGAAACTGCATTTTGTGTTTACTTGTGTTATCTTTGTCCAATATTTAAATTCTATGATTTGAAACATTTAATTGTGACAAACATACAAAAAAATAGGAAAGGGGCAAACACTTCTGTCACAACTGCTGTTGTGATATATATAAATTGCACATTTTCAACCTTCTTCTTAACAGAATATGAAAAACAGCTTCTAGAAAAATATCTGTGTTGTTCAGCAGGAAATGCACAATGAGTGTCTGCTTTGATATATCTGCTTTTGTTTCTCTGAACAACACAAATTCGCTTTTACTGGGTTGTATTCATGTTGTTTCACAAAGTTTTTACGTTTCTCTAAATCCCCAGGTACAGGGAAAGGTTGCAAGCAAAGTATCTTAAAGCCCCGGATAACAAGCTGTCATCTATCAGGTGTTGGCGTTTCACAAACACCAGTCTCTGCTCATCAGTGACACCTGGGGTCTACACAGGAGTCTCACCTCTTATTTTCCCGGGGACTCAAGAGCACAACTCCAGTCAAACGCCTAGAAAGAGCATCTCTAAAGAGCATGCCTGCTTCTCAAAGCAGATGATCCAGAAGCAGATTCGCAGTACGTATGTCGCTTCTGTAGAGGAAAAACTCAAGCAGCACCCTCTGGCTATGTACCCTCACTATAAGGATCACCTGACTCCTGAAGTAAGCTCCTCTATGCCAGAATGACATAGCTTCAGGTTAGGCAGATAAATGATGCCTGAATGAAGGCAAATACCTTCACACTGTGTTAAAACATATTTACATGGTCTTATTGTTCTCTAGTTATTTAATCGGGTGGTGGCTGTTTTGGACCCAGATTTGAGTGTGAGCAATGCCTCTGCACTTCCTGCACCTTCAGAAGACCTCGCAGAGGAGGAGGTCAAAACAGGAAACAGCCAAACTTAAAATGTAGGTACACACACAGCTTAGAAATACCTGGCTATTTTAGTAATGCCCAACATGACTTCTCTGCTTAAATGCAGAGAAGTCACGATGTCCAAAATCCAACTCCAAGAAACCCTTCTATATAATAAAAAAACACATATAAAGAGTATCAAGAGAGACCAGTTCGTCTCAGTAAAACTGAACACAATTAAGGACATCAAAGTATAGTTTTCAGGAGATAGTCTGCCTTCCTGGTAAAAGGTTTGTTATCTCAAACTTTTCAGTTTGAGATAACAAACTAACAAGAGAGCACATTACTGTTTCGCAGAAGTTACAAAATAACTATTATAATGACATGATACTTATGTTTGACTTTTGCAGGATGAATGCTTCTGATGGTGCTCCTCCTTCAAGTCTGTTTGCCACCAATTGTGCCCATTCAAGCACACAGCAACTTCTCAGGTTTTTGTATAAAATCCCAACCAGGAAGGCTATTCATATTTCCAAAGCAAGAACAAAATTCAGTACAGATCACAAATATAAGTGAAATATAAATTTTGATATCTTTTACTTGGGGAGGAAAAAAACAGTTACGTGCAAAAATAAACAAATTCAAGAGTCTGGCAACAGGTCCAAGTAGCTGAACTAAAATGTAAACAAGAGATAGAATGGGGACTTGGATCTGGCACAGATCTCAAGAAAACCCATCGTCCTTTCCCGTCTAACGTAACAAACAGCTGGTTTCATGGCAAGTAACACAAACCATCAAGAGTGAAGAGGATACAAAATATTTGGATTTAAAGACCTCTGTGTGGTAGGTCCACATCGTTTGTATATGGAAAAAGCTCAAGAGGATACAAAGGACAAGGGTGTTTAAGTATGACTTTATTTCTAAAGAATCTCCTTTTTTTGAAGAGTAAGATAAAGATCAATAACAAGAGGTGTGTATATTTGTTATCATATAAAGGAAATATGGATAATTAAGTAGTGCTTATAAACAAAGGATGGCAGAAGATTTCCAGAGTCCCTAAAAGCAGCCGGAACTGTACTAGATGTACTGTATGGGCAGCATGTGTCCCAACTACTTGAATCACAGCTTTTATTGTAAATTTATTATAAATCTATGCTATGAATAAAATAATTATTAAGAGACTTCACATTTTTCAAGCACTTTATTTAAACATGATAATACAGCTGATTGTTTTTTCAAATCAATCAAATCAAATCAAATCAAATCAAATCACTTTTATTGTCACATCACATGTGGAGGTACACTGGTACAGTACATGTGAGTGAAATTCTTGTTTTTTCAAAACTTTCTGCTGTCAGAGTTCATTCTTGTGACCTTTGAAAAATGAGGCATCTGTAAGACAAAAAAGAAAAAAACATAAAGGTATGATATTTGACAGATTATGATCAATCAGAAACACAATGGAATGTTAAGCATGAGATGCTGTGAGATGCTAAAGGACAAGTGTAATAGCCTTTAACGCAGAACTGGATTTCAGCTGCTGTCACACCTAAAAGTCTTTTCATCTGTTACTGACTTACCTTTAACTACATGACTCTTCTTGTTGATGTTATTCAGCCTTTCCTACACATTCAAAGACTCTGAAATGGTTGCCTTGATCTCTCCAGTAAAAGAATAAACTATAAATGACTCAATCTGTACAAACAGTTGACTCATGTCATGATATCGATGTAGAGTGAACAATGCTTGTAACATGTTTTTTAAAACAATGTAACTGTAACTATCATCAACAGCAGGAAACAGTTTTCAAAGTAAAAGTGTTCAAATCAGTTTGGTTTGTTCCTGACTACTGTCTGAATGACCTCAGTTTTGCTCAGTTGTGATCATTAAGAACTTTAAGAACTTACTGATAAAAGAAGAGGGGTTCAGAAGCATTTTGACGTGTCTCTGTTAGTTGTTGGGGTCAGAGGTCAGGAGAGAGTGGACTGGTGACCTGCGACCCAGTGAGAGTAGCGGTGGTGAGGAAGTATCCCTCACTGCAGTCTCTGGTATTAATATAAAATTGCCTAAAAAGCAGAGTGTCTGTTACAGATTTAAACCAAATCTTATTTTATTAAACTGCTCTATCTTGCATTATCTAGAGTTATCTATTAAACTATCTATTAAATATTTTCTTGATGATTTTCTTGTTCAGTAACTTAAAAAAACCTGCGTATTTAACCAAACAACAACCAAGACCAATTAATAGTGACAAGAAACTGTTGCAGGTCTAAAATTAAATTAAAATAAAATAAATTAATGCTTAGTAATAAGAAATTAGATATATTAAATAAAAACTGCTTATGAAACTCACTCTGACTGAAGGACTTGATTATTTTCTCATCTGGTTCAGCTGTCTTCAGGAAACATAGCTCGCTGTACACAGTGTGTGTGCAAACAGAGATTCATTACATTGCTTTACAGGCCTGTAGCACACTGCAGGACCTTTCATGAGAGGTCACATGGCTATATGGTGGGATCATCTCACAGCCTTAGGGCAAGTCACACTCACAAAGTCATGCAAAATATTTAGAAAAACAAAAACAAGGGGCACTTTCCCTACCTGCTGAAGGTATTTCTCCTCAGTTTGTAGCCAGTATCGCAATGATCAGTTCTGCGTCACAGACAAAAGAAATATTACAATATGGGTAAAGTGAGATATAACAAGAGCGTATGAGAGTACAGCAGAAATTTGGGTACATACAAGCATTTGAATGATAAAAGGCAATTTTTTTACATTTTATATTACAACATAGACTTTGAAACTGTGTGGTCAGTGAAAGCACTCACCACGTAGGGCTCATCTATGATTTCTTGCTCACTTAGAAATATCACATGATTTCCATATGTGACCTAAGTCGGCCTAAGAATAAAGCTAATGCTTGGGGTGTGTGGGAACTGAGCCAGACGTACAATGCGGTTCTGTGTACTCTCTCTGGTGCAGACCTCCTCCTGTGGAAGCTGCTGCCAGTGGTGCTGTTATCGGTGTGTGGTCCAGGGTTCTCCAAAATCCCTCCTCTCAGGATTTTGTCAAGAGATCTGAGCTCACAAGTGGGGCTCTCCAGCTGCCTCCTTGACTTCAGCAGCCAAAAAGATGTGCATGACAATGTAAATGAAGTGATATTTGGTAATATATTTATTAAAATGTTCATTTTTAACAGTGAAATCAAAATATATGGGACAGTCTTCTTTTATCTGAATTAAATCAATAAAAACACATAAAACTGTCTCCGCAGTCCAACACAAATAGCATTTCAACCCTGTGTTGAAATTATTTACAGTCTGTTTTCTTTCCCAGCTCCAGGAATGCAATTCAAAGGCTGAGCAGATGTCTCGTGTCTGTACAGCCAAATAAAATGATTCACACAAGCACTTGACAGACTGAAAGCAGGAGGGATAGGCGAGATATAGGGAGTTTCTCACTGTACCTTGATCTTGGCGTTGAAGGCATGCTGGGAGGAAGGTGGAGCAGTGTGTGCAGATGGGATCAGGGAGTCCAGATCAGGTGGACACACTTTCAGAGCTGTGTGCAGATTTTGACCTTGGAGCTCCTACAGAAAACAAATGTGGTCATGTCTCCCACTGAAAGATGTGCAATATTTAAAAATTATAGCCTAGCCTAACACACAGCTGAGAACCTTAGCATTGAGCACTTATTGTGTTTTTTTCTATACACAGACATAGAATACAGCATATTCTTGATTATAAAAAAGCTCTGTCCTACTAATTATGTAGAACAGCTTTACCTTCAAGTGGAGGGCATGGTGGAGTTTTAAGCGGAAATATTCCTGCTCCCGCAGCTGGATAAAATCCTGACAGTTTGCAAAGCTCTCCGACATCTTTTGAAATACAAAAAGAAACTGCGGTCACACTGGGACACAAACAGAGATACAAGAGGACTGACAAAGTTCCTTTTTATACTTGTCTCTATAAAATTTTGAACTTTTAATTCAAAAGGAACACAATTATTCTTTGGGAAACAGGAAAGTATGATGCTACCAATTGTAGAATCTTTTAATTAATTTTTATTTAAAAAGGATAATGAACATTAACAGAAGCATGTGGGCCCATCATGTAAATGGGGAAGATTATGTACTGCTTCCATAAGAGTCAGCCAGGTGCTACTAATCAAAATGCACTGGATTTTCTAATCATCAGACTTGAACACCTGTATAAAACCAGAATTTTGGCAGCTTGGTCTGGTGCATTCAGCTGTTTAATTAACACAATGCCAAAATCGTCCCATGAATGGATACCCCAGCAACATCAGACTGCGCATTGCTCAGAGAATTAGGAAAAAACCCAAAAGCTACCTCTCCAACTCTACAGGCCAGTTAGCATGTTAAATGTTCCGGTGCATGACTATTGAAGAAAGCTGAACAAGTATGGCTTGCTTGGAAGGGTTTCCAGGAGAAAGCTTCCTCTCTCTCTAAAAAGAACAGGCTACACAGCTTAAGTGAAATCTGAACAAACCACAGGACCTCTAGAACGATGTTCTTCAAAGTCAAAGTGGAAACATTTGGCCATAATGCACAGCCACAAAACCAAACAGAGCATTATCAGCTTAAATACTTCATGCCAAGTCAAAGGGATGAAATGGGCTTGTTTTGCAGCCATGGGACCTGTAGTCATTAAGTCGACCATGAACTCCTCTGTATGTTAAAGTATTCTAAAATCAAATATGTGGTCATATATGTGTCAGCTGACGCTTGGCCGTAACTGTGTCACGGAACAGGACAATGATCACAAGCACAGCAGCAAATCTACATCAGGATGGCCGAAAAGAAAAGAATCAAGGTGTTACAATGGTCCAGTAAAGTTCAGGCCATAATTAGAAGAGTAAAGAGCATTTTATGATTTTATTAAACAGTGTCAGCAAAGGAAAAAAAAGCAAACAGGGGAAACTGTTAAAAAAGAAAACAGTTACCCCCTGAGGAGAAAGTGTATTTTAAAACATTTATTCTTCACCGCACACTGCTTACACTCAAACCTCTGCATGTTTCAGGCAGTCACCAACATATTCACGCTTCTAAAAATTGCAGGTGTCAAAAATTGTGTCATGACTAAAATGAAGTGTAAATGAATGCCACCTTGTGAAGGATTGCCTCCAGCTCACTGATCCTATCTGTTAACTGCTGATCTTTGGAGCGAAGCACCTCCAGCTCGTTAGCAAGTTGTCTCTTCTCCTCCCTGACGAAGGTTAGTTCCTGGAGCTGACGCTCGGTCTCCAAGTTCTGGCAGTCTTTCTCCTGGACAAGAAGAGAACATGGAGTAATGCCTATCTCACTTCAGATGAATGTGAAGAACTGGAAAAAGTATGAAAAATTAACTGCCAAAAAAGCAACAAAAAACCCCCAAAAAAACCAGTTGTATAGTGTTGCATATTTGAAGACTACTGATTAAGACATTTTGACTGCTATGTCATCAAGAGCTAACTTGTCAAAAGTTAACATGGTAAAAGCTCACGTGATGCAGCTTCTCCACTTTCTCCTCCAGATGTTGAATTTTGCTCTGCATCAAGTCCACCTGCTCTCTCCTGCCAGTGATCTCCTTCTGCATGTCCAAGGCTACCTGGAGGCCTGAAGTGGAGTCAAACCATGGGACAGAAAGATGGCAACATAAATAATCACAGAGCTCTTCTTTAGGATGGATTACAGGGTAGGGAATTACAGATTACATCTCTCAGACTGAAATGAAGCACAGGAGGTCAGAAAGTGAATTGAATACATTTCACTAATATTAAATTTTTTGTTCTCTGAAATGCAAAATGTCTCTGTGATACTAAAGGTCGCTAACGTGAAAGTACTTCACTGTAATCTGTGCACCTGACCAAATATATATGAAAATCACAAGCAGTTCCTCAGAGTTTTATTTGTTCATGAAGACTTTTAATTAAGTTGCATTTTAAATTATAAACATTGATCAAACCATGTCTGTCAGCCCCTTTGAGGGTCCCCAAGGTGCTCTGGATCTGATCTAGCTCATCGTGGGCGTTCCTTATCTGACTCTGAAGATTCAGCACCACACCCTCATGCTCCTCGTTCTTACAGCTGTGCAGCCGTTGCAGCTCCTTGTGCTCCTCTGAAATCGTGCCCGGACAAACACGTGTTACGTCC